GGACGACGTGCAGTATATTATTAGATTACTCGGTTGCTTCGCTCGTGTATCGATTCTGGTCTGTTTACAATGTTCACCCTACCACCCTGTTCACCCGCCCAACTACCTTCTCGACGGTACCAATAACAAAGTTGCATCCACAAATCAGTAATCCAAATTTCGAAATAAAATATTCTCTTTCTCAGTTTGCACCAAATTGTTCAGTTGAGCCAAATTAACCCTTTCGCGCCGAGCGTCTCATATATGCGGCATCGAAATGAAGTGTATACAGAAGACGGGGATGTGTAATTTGTAGCAAAAATGATAAAAGTACGGATTCGCGGTACGAGTGCAAAGATTGCGATGTTGGCCTTTGTATAGATCCTTTTTTTCAAACATATCACACAGAATTATATTATTAGTTTTTACATATTATTATATTTTAATCATTTCCGTCTCTCGTTATTAATTATATTAAACATTTAATCGTTAGGCTTTGTAATTATATAAATACCTATGTTACCTATAATTTTGTAAGTCTTTTCGAATTAAAAATGTAAATATACTTGTTACACATTAGAGCAATGATTGTTTTATTCGGCACAGTGATTATTTAAGACTTAGAACAACATATATACAGAAACCACGCGCACTGTGCATATTTCCGGAGCGGGTTTCCGTTCAGTGACGGTACTTCGGCGGATGGAGCTGCCCTAGCGAAAGGGTTAAATAGTATTTGTCGGACGCATCAATTTCCGTTTGATTCAAGTACAGCGTATGTCAAGGGGTTAAGAAACATTTTGATTTGCAGGATCTTACTCTTGAGCAAATTCTAACGCGAAAACGCGGATCAGTGTGCTTTTTAAAAAAGTTAGAATATTCTTAAAAACATTCAAAAATCTGTTTTATTGTTTCCGTTCTAATGACTGAGACGGTTATTGGACATCGGACTTTATGCGTTTCCGAGACAGCGAGTGTGTGCGGCCTATTAAAAAGCGAATATTTGAATAATCTTCTCACGGGATCTCGACTTCTCTTCATCTTCTCCGGATTCCTGCCAGAAAAACGATACGTCTGATCTTCGTTCTACCAAAAATAACATAAAAACATCTGCAACCGCGCAAACATCGAATAAAACGTTGTTGCTTCGATAGAAATCGAAGCTTCGTCCGACAGATATTTCCGTCGGCAAAATCAATCAATAAAAATCTGTCGCGGCATTTTTCCAAATTTTAACACACTATTTTACCCAACTCTGTGCAAAGCTTCGCGCGTACTGAAACATTAACGAAGAACAAAAAGAAGGACAACGACGCCATGGAACTAGCAACGAAAGACACTCGGAGCCTGCGTGGATACCTGGAGCCTATGGAACACGCACTTACGAAACTAGCTTCCGCGCTTATCCGCAAGAACATCTTCGCACTGAAATGCTCGGTTCGGTCGTCGTACGTATTATTTTCGTAATCGGTATACATCGAGAGGAAACGTAGCACAAGAGCTTAACAATCTAAGGGATGAAGAACAACTTTCTCGATCTCGGTAGAAAAGCTTGGCGGTCTTTAACCTAAACCGGTGGCTAAATTGAAAAAGTCAGTCCTTCCGTCGATCGAACGAGAAATCAGGCCCTCTGCTAACGTCTTAAACACCGACGACCGCGACACGCTTGTCCGTCAGGCTCGCGGACATTTCGCGCGAACGTCGTCGCAACGCCGGCGCAACGCTAATTTAACCGGAAACAGCGAAATCATGTCTCTCTCCACTCGACGTCTCACCTACGGCTTATCGTTATGCGGTAAAATTGCGAAGAAGATCTTTCCGTTACAGGCCTCCGATCTATCTATATGTTAGAAGGGGCGTTATATTGCTACTATATCACATAATATTCCTTACGATTATTACTATTGTTACTGTTAGCGTTATTAATCTTATCGTAATTACTATATTAACGTTATGAATTAGACGAGCATTTTGTAAACGATAGACGAGATCGTGAAACGATCGGCAGTGACGTGCGGATTTCAATTCGTCCACGTTTGTCCTGTGTTCTCTTTTCGGTGAACCGCGCGCGCGGCCACGCCGAAATTTTCCGTCGGGTTCGTCGGCGACGGGCGCGCGAACGTCGAGAAACTTTGCTCGCTCTCCTCGTTAAAACTGCTTAAATTTTGCTTCTTACACCCTCGCCCCCCTGACTCGCCTCCGTCCCACCACCACCTGCCGCTCCGAACCCCGCGAAAGGTATCTTCTGTTAGAGGGAGTTTGAAAAATTCAGAACGTGAATAATGAAGTACATCCCCGGCCCGATGTTTAAATTGAGGTGGGAGAAACGAAGTCGGAAGTCTCGCCAAAAAAAAAAAAAAAACGGTCGGCGGCGGCGGCATATACCTTTGATTATAGAGCAACGAGGAGAAAGGATCGTTAAGGCAACAAAGGGTACCACAAGGCACCTCGTTATTTCTTTCGATCCCCCCGATGTATTTGAAGATACAATTCACTATTATATGAGGTGAAATTAAAGCAAACGAAAGACCTGTTCCGTGATATTTACAGGATCCGTAAGATGCGGGCGGCCGTGCTCCGGATCTCGGATAGAAAACTGATAGGAGGCTCTAAGGAGAGGACGAGCGCTCTCCGCGCGAGTCCGGGGCTACCGCTTCGCTACACACGTACAGTGATTTCTTCCTAATTCGCGCTCAGATCGCGCACAAAAGTCGGCAATTTGGAGAGAGCAGATACGATTATTCGAGCCTTGCGTCTTGTGTTCCATAATTATGTTAACGCCTGGAAAGGGGTGATTCCTGAAGTCATTTGAAGTAACTTTTTCCGTTACAACAATTTTCTCCGAGGCATCGTTAACGAGTTATTAACGAAAAGCGCTGACCAATGAGAGGCGAGCTCGGCTGGCGCGAGGCGGCCCAGCCAACGAGCGCGCGAACTCAGTTCCGCTGATTGGCTCGGGCGCCTAGCGCTAGGCCAGCTCACCTCTAATCGGTCGCTTGGCTCGGCTGGCGCGAGGCGGCTCATCCAACGAGCGCAAGAAGCTCGTTCCGCTGATTGGCTCGGCCGCCTAGCGCTAGGCGAGCTCGCCTCTTATTGGTCACCGTTTTTCGTAAATAACTCGCAAACAAAGCCGCGGATTGTATTTCCGCTAAGGAAAAAGTTACTTCGAATGATCTCAGGAATCACAACTTTCCGGGTGTTAATGTAATTATGGATCACTCTGTATGGTTGTTGACAATCGGTAATTATAAAAAGGAGCCGCAAGGCTCGAATAATCGTGTCTCCACTTTTCAAATTGTTCATTTTTCTGCGCAATCTGAACGCGAATTTGGGAGAAATTACCGTATTGGTTTCCCAGTCGTTTCGAATGCTATCTTTCGAGCGTCACCATTCGATTTTTACTAAATCTTCGTGCATCGCGTGTCACCGTGTACGAGGCGCGACGCGGAAATAAACGAGACCTTGTTTCTCGGGGAATTACCTCATTTTGACAATTGAAATTTGTACACGTTCAATCTCGTAATCGTAGACCCTTAATTTTTCACATGTTACAAACATGGACAGGTGTATGCGGATACCTTTTAAAACTGAGCAACTTTCTTAAAATTGGACCAAACGTGTCGAATCTTTTTCAGATGTTACAGGGATCAGTGTAATAGACGATGCTGCCGTTCTTAGTTAAAATACCGTGTCTACTAATTTGCCACGTTTCAGGATATTTTACAATATTTGGAATATCGCGTGTCTTTCATCTTTTAAGCAAAAAGCTAGAATACTCGATATACTTCAATTCCACTTATTTAGAAATGATCTTATTAATTTGAGGCTTGATCTTTTGGATGATCAGGAATGTTAGTCGAGACAATTTATCTACGGAGGGCAGCATGTATGAAGATATTTTTCGCAAGAATAACAATCGCGCGAAATGACAGAGACTGCTGTGAAAATTAGAGAGACTGTTTTTTCAACTGTTTTACCCGAGCCTGTAACGAAAACGTAAACAATGCGTTTTGTAGGTCTTTGAGATTTATATGCGTGCTGAAAATGCCATCCAATTCGGTTGACAAAGGGACAAGCGACAGGTATTGTAAGATGACAAACTCTCTCGATTTCTCATAGTCTTTGGTCGCAAGTTGCGAAAAACTGCGATTATTACTATTTTTAATTGTTTTTAATTGTTCGTAGTCGTTGCAGCGTTAGCCGTTTCCGACGAAATTTCTCAAAAATACATCGTTTCAATTTTAGTTATGTGCTCGGTTAAAAAGTTGAGAAGCGTTATTTTTGTTGTATTTTCTATGAAATCGTTCGGTCTAATTTTAGGAAAAATAATCTGTTTTAAAAGGTGTTCGCTTTTGTTTGTCCACTACTGCGTGTCGAATAAGGAAATCTAACGTTTCAGAGTATCTCCAACATGAAATGAAAATTTCGGAGGTCGGGAATATTGTGTCCGTTGTCTGTATTTGTTTAATAAAAGTCATAGATATTCCGGCTTTGTTTTTTTGGATCGCACCTCGCACCTTCTGTGTTCTCCGAAGGTTACCGGAATCTTTGAAACCGTACTTTGGTATCGTCGGGCCCGTTCCGCGCTTCAAATTTCGATCATCGTCCCGAGAAGCATCTCGTTCAGAGTCAGCCCGCCGCACTTTCGGCTGGACTCGCGTCAAATTTAGAGACTATACCCTGCTATATATAGAGTACTTACGACACAGCAGAACAATCCCATCGACGTTGTACGCAAACAACCTGCAAAGTCGCACGCTGCCCCGAGCGAAGCAGAAACAACGCCCCTTTCATCGGAAACTTGTCGGTTGAATGCAGGTAGCATGGAACATCGCAGAGAATCTTCTGGTACAAGTTTCACATATTTCATATAAAAAATTTCTTCAAAGCGATTGGGATATTTAAATATTGTACCGAAGAAAAGTGAAAAGATCGCGTCCAGTTAACGATCCGAAAAAAGAATTTTTCCTGAGAAAATTAATGGAGCTTCTTCTCTAACGAGTACCTTATTCAAAAGTATATTGTGTATATATATATGTATATTGTAAAATTTGCTTTAATTGTTTGGCAGCTGAATCTTACAAAATGCCTGAGTAGCAGCCTTTTCCCCAGAAGTTGTCTTTCTATTCTTGAACAATTTGCTAACAAGAAAAGCTTTTCACGCAAATGATCACTGAACTGCGGATCTCTCTTTTCTTCTTCAATAATTTGAATACACTGAGAGGAATGTATCAACAGTTTTGAATTCTTCAAATTCCTTTCCTGTTTTATATTTCACACGCTCGTCTTTGTCATAAATGCATGAAAATCCGCAGTCCAGTGATCACATTAACCAAAAACGACAAGTCGAAATTATAGTGATCTCAATAATCTAAGAGTTATTCGCTCAGAATACTCGATACAGGCTAGAAAGATGGCGTCGAACGTCATTAGCCATTAGCAGTTCTGGATCAGCATTCAGAATACTCCAATTACCACAAAACGAACCTTAAAATCTACTAAATAATAATCACCGATAGAGATATCGTTCAGTGTCAACTATAGAAACAAAAAAAAATTCCGTATTACTACTCCCTCGCCTCTCCCGCAGGTTTCATTGAAAAGACGAACTTTCCTACACGTTTCGCAAGCTTTAGGTGTTCCAGGCTACCCGCGTCCAGCTTACAGCATCGAAGCAAGATAAATCATGGTTCTGGTCTCGCAGCCCTGTCGCTTATCACGGGTAATTAGCGTCGCCGTTTTGACCTTTGCTGCTCGTCGGCTGGGAGGTGGGCGACGACTTGGTGAAGTTGCCGAAGTTCTTGGTGGGCGAGTCCGAGGCCACGCTGGCTAGAGCCTTGTCCCTCGGCGGAGGTGCCGAGCTGATGCTGGACGAGCTGACACCGGAATCGCTGGACTTCTCGCTGACACAGCCACGCTGTCCTAAACCGGCGACGGATCCGGTCCCCTCAAGGCCAATGTCGCTGCTGCCGACCACGTATTTCACCATGTTGCCGAGCTTCTGGCCGCCCTCGTCCTCGATCACCACCGACTCGCCGAAGTTCCCTCTCTTCGCGATGTACCGTATGTTGCCGCTGCGCAGCAACGGCGACTTGTCGAAGTGGCCGTCCTTCTGGCCGGCCACAGAGCCGGTGATTGGGATGTTCGGATGGAAGTCGTCCTTGCCGTCGGACGCGCTGCCGCCCTCGGTGCTCGAGCCGCCGACATTCTTCGTGGTCGTGGTCACGTCCAGATTGTTCTCCCTCGACAACTTGGCGCCCGTCGATTCCGGGCTCACGGTCCGCCGGCTCGTCGGATTCTTGTGAGCGTCATAGCAACCGGAGTCCCGCGGGAACTGGCGGCGATTAAACGGTGAACAGTGACCGGATGTCTGGCCAGAGGTTAACACCAGCCGGCTGACCTCGTCGCCCTCCGAGCTCGACGCCAGATCGCCCTCGCTTCCGGCTGTTCGAACAGAACAACACAACGACGTGTAGCCGCGCCATCGACTTCTAAGGAGCTTTGCTTATTTTAGCTTGGACTTTGTGTACAGCCTAGAAGGAAGTTCGGTGTCACGATCACCACGGTGCGATTTTATCGGGGTCGGCATAACAGATAGCGCAGAACGGACGGTGTGTCGCGATTCGAAATTCGGCGTTTTGAAAAATGATGCAAGAGTGTCGTAGTTGAGACGACTGGTTTCTGAGCTTTTTCTTTTACTATTCCCGATACTATGGGAACGTTTTTGTTGTAAATTTTTATATAAACTTCTTCGTTCGAGCACATGCTATAATGCAAATCGTGGGGGTTTAACGCTAGATTTACGGAGCGTACAAAACAGCTGTTTTATATTATATATAAATATATTGTAAAAGTAATATATATTGTATACTATATTTATTATATATATTTATATATATATATATATATATATATATATATATATATATATTATTATTATTGTTATATATATTATATATTAATATTATTATATATATTGTAAAAGTAAGAATAAGACGTTTATTCTGACTTTTAACGAGTGTTGTTGTAACATTTGCCGTAAGTAACGTATAAATTGAATAAATAACTCATAAATGTGTCTTCACGACATGAATAGTTGTAAATGAAAAAATTAGTGACCCGCCATTTCGACGGGTTCCGTAAATCTAGCGTTAAATGAATTCGATCGTGTCGTTACGAAACAACAATATTGCTCGAACGTTGAATAAGCAAGCAAAAAACGTCCGCGATGTAATCTGAAATTATACTGATGAAGGATCGCAACTCAACCGGCTTCTGGACAAACGTAGATGTATTATTGATAGACTGCGGATTTTTGTACCGGATAAAAATTGTTTATGTAAATTGTAACGAGCACACAAGTTTGATGAAAATGTGTTTCTTCTTTTAATAATTATAATAAGTTGAATATAATTTTACGATCTCCTCAAATTCTTGTCATGACATCACAATGTTGTATCTGACTACATTTTTTACATAAATGCAGAAAAGCCGCAATCTAATCATTAGTTATACAGGGTGTGCCAAAATTATGGTATTTCAGAGAAATGAGGTGTTCCTGAGGTAATTTGGAATAGCTTTTTCCTTAGCGAAAATGCAATCCGCGGTTTCGTTTACGAGTTATTAGCGAAAAACCGTGACCAATGAGAGGCGAGCTCGTCTAGCGCTAGGCGGCTTAGCAATCAGCGGAACTGGGCTCCGCGCGCTCGTTGACTGGCCAGCCTCGCGCCAGCCGAGCCATGCGACCAATGCGAGGCGAGATGAGCTGGCGCGATGCGGCCGAGCCAATTAGCGGAACTGGGCTCCGTGCACTCCGAGCTCGCCTCTCATTGGTCACCGTTTTTCGCTAATAACTCGTAAACGAAACCGCGGATTGCATTTTCGCTAAGGAAAAAGTTGCTTCAAATGATCTCAGGAACCTCTCATTTCTCGGAAGTACCATAATTTTGGGACACCCTATCGTGAATTGAAAGTTGATGGATCGCGTAAAAGATACGAGATCTAATACGTCTGTCCGAGACTTCGTTTTCGAGAAAATTGAAATGCAAAATCACACTGCGGCGGTCGTGGCATTTTATCGATCATAGCGGGAGAAATAGTTGAAATGCTTACATTGAAGATCGTGCAGCAGTTGCACGGCGGTAAGTATCTTCGCGCGATGCTCCGGCTGGTGGATGCGTAGATAATCGAGATCCGCGGGCTCTATCTCTCGGAAGAGTTCCAGATCCTCGTACCCGTTCAAGACAAATACGGGAATGTGTTCCTGCGAATACGCATTATTGAAGTTTATGTCGCGATTGTGGCCGGCGCTCCATCCTCCAATATTGCTAAATGTACGTGGCGCGCCGTCATAAATATTTTATCGCTTTTCATCTTTTGCTTTTCTAAGACTGAATTTCATTCTGCCCATCGTTCCTATAACACAGAGCAGCGGCGAAACAGCGGATCGTGACAAAATATTCAGCGGCTTGAATTTTACCCAGCTGCCTGTGACATTTTGATGATGAACGTCGATTTTTCACGATACGATAAAAAGATTTCAAAAGAATTTGGAAACAATTCCAGCTATAAACGCGCTCTAGTTGTCGTTTCCATTCGTAGCGTTACGAACGATGAATATGTATGTTTAATTAATGAAGCAAGACACCTGGAAAATTCGTAGTAATCTATCGTAGTAAATTAATAAAGACTTTAACACTTCCTATAGCATTCGTTAGCGAGACTACGCACCGTTCCGCGCATAATACCTTTTGTCCCTGTTATTCTGCATTCTGAACACTGCTGTATTTTATGCGAGACAAAGCGAGATTTATACGAAAATATAAAAATGTGTCAATGATGTCATTCTATTCGTAAAAATGCCTCCTTTGTTCTCCGTTGATCTCCGTCGAACCATAGGGAAGAATCGTATTTTTAATCCTCTGCTCAGCGAAAAATCAAACTACGCACGTTGTTCCGTAATCTGTCGATCCAAGCGAAAAGATTCGACATAAACGAAAATATTAGGGTGTCCTATAAGTTCTTTGCTTTTTTCGGATGCGAAACGATTACACGATATTTGTTGTTTAAGGTTGATTGATTGAGTTATATATGAACAATTCTGCTCTATTATCTTCTTCCATCTTTCAGGAAGCCTCGTTACGCCGTCTTTCCAAGATTGTTGAGGCTTGTTTGCAAAATATTGATCAAGGTGCGTTTTTATTTCGCTTACGAATTTAAACCGTTTTTCACGGAGAGAATTTTGTAACGAGGAGAACAAGTAATAATCGAATAGTGCAATGTCTGGAGAGTACGGAGGATGAGATAGAATGTCCCAATCAAACTGCAATAATTTTTGTCTTATGATCAACGCAACATGTGGTTTTGCGTTGTCGTGATGAAAATTTGATGGTGTAGAACTTCGAATCGATTCACATATCCCATCTTGATTAAATGCTTATGTACCGTTGTCCTGGGTATGTTAGTGGCATCCGTTATCTCGCGCACATTACAGCAATGTCTCCCTAACTGACGCACAGATTGTACACAAAAATGA